ATTCCGGATAACACTGCAGTTCAGGTGAAGGCTTTTATCACCAGACCTATGTATATTCAGCCTTTTCAGGTTTGTACTGTTCCAGGTATTGTTCGTGGAAGTCATTCCATTAGACATGGTGTTACAGAGGATGATGAGAACTTGCACTCTTTCAATATTTGCCCTCGCCTTGTTGAAGTTCACCCAAGTCGTTCCTTCTCTAAAGTTCCGGTTCGCATTTGTAACATGAGTGTCAGACCTGTTCGTATCATGCCTAAAAGTTCAATCTGCCTTCTTCAAGATGTGAACGTTGTTCGATCAGTTGACCCTTTGGAAGCCACATCGTCTAATATCAGTACTAAAGATATGTCTTTGGAAGATTTAGGAGTAGACTTATCCAAGAGCTCTTTATTACAAGATCATCTTAGAGACGCTACACAATTCCTCGAGAAATGGCAAGGTATATTTTCTACTGGTATTACAGACCTTGGCTGCACTAATCTTGTTGAGCATGAGATCAACTTGACTGATCCACAGCCTTTCAAGGACCCCTATCGTCGCATCCCTCCTGGTATGTATGAAGAGGTTAGGGAACATCTCCAAGATATGCTTGCTGCAGGAGCCATTAGGGAATCCAAAAGCCCTTTCTCAAGTAACGTCGTCCTTGTTCGCAAGAAAGACAATTCGCTCAGGTTCTGCATAGACTTCAGAAAGTTGAATAGTCGGACAGTAACTGATGCCTACTCCTTGCCAAGGATTGATGAGACCATTGATTCCCTCGCAGGTTCCAAAATCTTCAGCAAACTAGACCTACGATCAGGTTACTGGCAAGTTGCCATGAAGGAGTCTGACAAGCCAAAGACTGCTTTTTCGGTCGGCCCACTTGGTTTCTATGAGTGTGAAAGGATGGCGTTTGGACTAACTAACGCTCCCGCCACCTTCCAGCGCTTGATGGAAAGATGTATGGGGGAACTTCATCTAAAAGAGTGTTTGATTTATTTGGATGACGTCATCGTTTATTCCAAGACGTTAGATGAGCACTTTAAACGACTTGATGCTGTTTTTCAACGCCTCAAGGAAGCTGGTTTGAAGCTTAAAGGCAGCAAGTGTGAGTTTTTCCTCCCTCGTGTCACATATCTCGGACATGTTGTTAGTGCTGACGGACTGGAGACTGACCCAGAGAAGACCAGAGTTTTGAAGGAGTGGCCCGTTCCGAAGTGTCTTAAGGATCTTCGCAGTTTTTTAGGTTTTACCGGCTACTATCGTCGTTTTGTACCAGGTTATGCTAGTATAGCCAAGCCTTTGAATGACCTCCTTGCTGGACACCCGACAAACACTAAAGGTAAGAGTAAGAAGGATGCAGCTACTTGGACTTGGAATTCAGATCAACAAAAGGCATATGAACAGCTCATTGAGAAGTTGACTACCCCTCCTGTTCTTGGCTATGCCGATTTTACAAAGCCGTTCATCTTGAACATTGATGCAAGTACTTCCGGTTTAGGAGCGATCCTCTATCAGGAGCAGGACGGTCAAGAACGCGTAATCGCCTACGCCAGCAGAGGGTTACGTATTAAGGAGCGAAGTTATCCTGCTCATAAGTTAGAGTTTCTTGCGTTGAAATGGGCTGTTGTTGACAAATTTAACGATTATTTGTATGGTAACTCCTTCAAAGTTCGTACAGATAACAACCCATTAACGTATGTGCTCTCTTCCGCCAAACTAGATGCAACTTCACATAGATGGTTAGCTGCGTTAGCATCTTTCAACTTCACCTTACAGTATCGTGCTGGACGTTCAAACATAGATGTAGACTTTCTGTCAAGAGTTCCTAATTCATCTGAAACTGTGGTTTTCAATGACGCAGTTAAAGCTATTATACAAGGTTGTATGTATGTTAAGGAATCACCTGTTGTTGAATGTATTTCTATGAGTCAGAAAGTTGTTGATATAACTACTGATGTTTCATCAGACTACCTTAGTGATGTTGATTGGAAGCTGGAACAGACAAAAGCTCCTACAATTTCAAGGTTTATACAGATCTTTTCTACTGGTCATAAGCAAACTAGAAGACTTTCTTCACGGGAAACTGAATCTGTTCGTCAATACCTTCGAGAATGGCCCAGTCTTTTTATCAAGGATGGTATACTTTATCGTCATGGTCAGGTATGTAATCATCCCGTAGATCAGCTTGTTCTGCCAGACTCATTTAAGGATATGGTTTTCACTGGTCTCCATGACAATGCCGGTCATCAGGGTATTGACAGAACCAATTCCCTCATCAAATCTCGTTTCTTTTGGCCAGGTTTGGATGGTTTTGTTGAAACTCGAGTACGGAAGTGTCCTCGTTGTATTCGGCTGAAAACACCTTTGTCAACTTCTGCAGGACTTATTCCAATCCATTCTTCTTATCCTCTAGAGCTTGTCTGCATGGACTTTTTGACCTTAGAGATGTCAGCAGGTGGATATGAGAACGTGTTAGTAATCACTGATCACTTTACCCATTATGCACAAGCCATACCGACTAGGAACCAAACGGCACGCACCACGGCGAAAGCACTTTTTGATAATTTCATTTGTCATTATGGTTTCCCCAGTCGCCTACATAGTGATCCAGGCAGGAATTTCGATGGAGCGGTTATAAAGGAGTTATGTCAGCTTGCTAACATCACTAAGTCTAGGACTACGCCTTATCATCCCCAGGGTAACGGAATGCCTGAAAGATTCAACCAGACACTTCTGAATATGCTAGGTACTTTGGAGGATAAGAAGAAGCTGAATTGGAAAGCTCATGTACCAGCTCTTGTACATGCATACAACTCAACTCGGCATGAGACGACAGGTCTGACACCACATTTTCTTATGTTTGGGCGCCATCCTCGCCTTGCATTAGACGCTTTCCTCGGGATCGATCCAGACATTTCTTTTCACACCAAGAAGCCAGCTGAATTTGTTGAAGGCTTAAGGAAGCGCTTAAATTTCGCTTACAGAGTTGCTAGTCGTGAGGCGAGACGTCAAGCAAAGCGGCATAAAAAGCGCTACAATCTTCGTGTTCGGGAAGTACGCCTTGTTCCAGGTGACCGAGTATTAGTGAGAAACGTTGGTTTAAAAGGTAAGTGTAAGTTAGCTGACCGTTGGAGTAAAACTATCTACATTGTAGTTGATCAGCCTAACCTAGATTTACCTATATTTCAGGTTAAGCCGGAAGATAGTGATGATGCACCAAAGTTACTTCACCGTAATATGCTACTCCCGTTCATGGGTCTCCCACTACAGGAACCGAAACGACTGTCACATCACTCTCCCAGTAATGGCAGTTTTTCAGCGAAATTCTCCTGTCAATTCTCTTTCCTTTTCAGACACAGCAGCATCTAAACCTTCTGAGTCTTCGAGTACTTCCATTAAAAACTCTATTTCAGACAATCCATCAGTCGTATCCGCGGAATCTGATAAGTATGTTATTCCTGCAAGACGTCCAGGTAAATAGTTTGTTAAGACCGGAAGCTCCACCTTTTCTTCCACGAAGAACTTCTAGAGTAAGAGAGAAGCCACGCTGGATGACTGATGATTGGAATTTGAGTAGGAAACGGTAGTACATATTCTCAGACAGATGTTAAATTTGATTTTGTCATTTTTTGTTAATTGTTTTATAAAAGATGAGAACAATAAATTGTTTTAGTTGAGTTTTGTATAATCTTAATTTCAAATTATCAGTGTTGGTTTACTGATGTTTGAGACTAGTGTTTATTCATATGTGTTATCATATGAATGTAGGGTTTCGTCATATATATTTGTATGTATGGTTTTGTATTTAACCGATTTGTAAAATTTCTACAAAGAGATTTGACAAATTTTATTTACTCTGAAAGAGTTACTTTGAATATTGTGTAATGTGAAAACATAACACAAGTTCTACAGTTTTGTAGATGAGTCAGTGTACTAACGTGCATGGTTCACAATCCCCAAAGAACGCGTTCACCATTCCCAACAGTGCTTCGGGCACTTTTCTGGTTGTTAATGCCTCACAGCATTTTCAAGCAGTATACATTACCTTTATTGGTAATTTCACTGTTAGGACAGAAGTACTTTAACGAGTCCCATGTCCTTAGTATTAGTTCTACTGTAGTTAGACAGTATGGTTTTTGATATATGCAGGTATCAGTAATTTTTGTTTATGAGTTGAAAATGTCGGGACGCCATTTTATCCTTGGCGGGAAAGTATGTCACAGGGTCATTTTGTCTTTGCTAGAATACTCTGTAATTCATACCCATACTCTATATCACTCCCCTATCGTCTCTTTTTCAATCATTCATATCATTATTCAACTTCATACTAATAACTTCATTTGACCTGTAACACGTTGACGGGCCTCATTCACTTCATTTTTGAATTCGGTCACGCTAACCTTTACGCATGCGCACAAGAAATGAGAACTTTTAGCGAGAGCTGTTGTTTTTTTCATTGACTCCGTATTCTATTTTATTGTGTGCCAACAATATATTTACAGGTATATTTGAGGTTATAAAACATTGTAAACATGAATTACTATGATATGTGTATGTATTTCGCTTAGAATTATCAATAGCACAAGAAATGAGAACTTTTAGCGAGAGCTGTTGTTTTTTTCATTGACTCCGTATTCTATTTTATTGTGTGCCAACAATATATTTACAGGTTCCTCTTTGAACACCCTATCCTCCCGAGTGAGAACTCACGTATATCCGTGACAGTAACTTCAAGGGTTTGTTCAAGTCACTGTAATATCCTTCATTACTGTAGTCTGCTATATATAACTATATTGCATGATGGGTAAAAAAGAGTACTGAACTTCCGGTCAAGATATAACATGGCTTTCTAAATAAACGTAGTTACAATCAAATGTGTTTCTTATAATATCTATACCCTGGACATAACATCTGGCGACGAGGATATCAAGATATGTGATTAACCGTTTAAGAATTATCTGGATATAAGAATTTTACTAGTTTATGGATGGATAACGAAGTAAACTAATAAAAAAAAAATGAACAACTTACCACATTTTCCAAGTTTCGATCTTGAGACGGACAAAACAAATTCAGGAGCACGGTGGGAAAAATGGATTGGTCGTTTAGAGAATTTATTCAAGGGAATGTTGGTGGACGATGATGACCAAAAAAGAGCTTTATTATTACACTACGCCGGTGAAAAGGTTTATGATATTTATGACGTTGAGAAGAAAGAGACGGAAGAAACTTATGACGCAACAAAGAAAGTGCTTGGGGACTATTTTTCGCCACAGAAGAACATCCAAATAGAGATATACAATTTTCGAACATATAAACAATCAGAAGAACAATCCCTTGACGAATATGTGACGGAATTACGGACACTAGCTAAAACCTGTGGGTTTACAGATATTGATGGCGAAATATTGCAGCAAGTTATACAACACGGGAAATCTAACCAGTTACGTCGTAGGGCTTTACGTGAACCTGACAAAAAACTGGATGCTATTTTAACTATGGGTAGGATGCTTGAACAAAGTGACCAACACGCCAAAGTAATGGAGAAAAATGACCAAAACTTAGTAAGGAAAGTATCAAATTACACACGAAGAGGGCGAGGTGGAACAACACGTGGGAGAACGGCTGCACGACGTGGATTTAACTCGCAGAACCGTGGGAATTTTCGGGAGACTGGCCAATCGTATCAGCGCGGGAATTATCGGCGCGCGTTGCCAACCAATAAATGCAGGAATTGCGGATATGAATTTCCCCACAGAGGTACCCCTTGTCCAGCAAAAGGGAAAACCTGCAACACATGCTCAACAGTTGGCCATTTTGCGCGGTGCTGTCAGAAATCAAAACGAGGCAAAGTAAACGAAGTAAGCCGTGAAGAGGATTTACAGTCGAATTCAGAGGAAGAATTCCTCTATAACATAACAGTTAAAAGTGTCGCAAAAGAAAACAAAAGGAAAACGCCTCAAACAAAAATAACAGTGAATGAAAAGAAAATAACAGCAACGATTGATACAGGTTCAAGTGTTAACATTATAGATGAAAGGACTTATAATTACATTGGAAAACCTAAAATTCAACGGAAATATTTACCAAAACTTTTGCCTTACGGAGGAGGAAATCCGCTTCCAGTAAAAGGGTATATGAATTTATCTGTTGAAAAGAATGAGAAAATAACCGTAGCAAAATTTTATCTGGTGAAAGGAAATTATGGAGTTTTAATCGGCTATGATACATCATGTGAAATGGAATTAGTCAAGATTACACAGAACATCTCCTTGAAAACAAAGATTGAGGATAAATACCCTGGAATTTATAAAGGTATTGGAAAACTAAAACACAAAACCGTGAAATTGCACATCAATCCAAATGTGAAACCTGTAGCACAAAGAAATAGAAGAACACCATTTCATTTGAGAGAAAAAGTAGAAAAAGAAATTAAAACCTTGTTAGAAAATGATATTATTGAAGAAGTTATAAATGAGCCTACACCTTGGGTTTCACCAATTGTCACACCTCCAAAACAAAATGGCGATGTTAGACTCTGTGTTGATATGAGAGAGGCCAATAAAGCCATAGAAAGGGAAAGACATCAAATGCCGACGATAGATGAACTAATTCATGATATGAATGGAGCAAAAATATTCAGCAAGCTTGACCTCAAAGCCGGGTACAATCAGCTTGTCTTACAAGAAGAATCGCGGTATATCACAACATTTGCTACACACATGGGACTTTATCGGTATAAACGTTTGAATTTTGGGACAAATTCTGCTAGTGAGGTTTTTCAAAAGACCATAAGTGAAGTAATACAGGGTATAGAGGGATCTAAAAACATTTCGGATGATATTATTGTATACGCGAAAAATCAAAGTGATCACGATAAAGCATTAGATAAAGTTTTCCGGGCTATACACGAAAGTGGCATGACATTAAACAAATCTAAATGTGAGTTCAATAAAAAAGAAATCACTTTTTTTGGAGTAGTATTTGGGCAAAATGGAATGTCACCTTCACCTCAGAAGGTAGAGGCAGTCAAACAAATGCTGGAGCCTACAAATGTGACGGAAATGAGAAGTTTTCTGGGAATGACGTCATATTCGTCGCGGTTTATACGAAACTACGCGACAATCTCTGAACCGTTACGACGTCTTACAAGAAATGACACTCAATGGGAATGGGGAAGTGAGCAACAAGCAGCATTCGAGAAATTAAAAAGTGAACTGAGCAGTGAAACTGTCATGGCATACTTCAATCCGAGCAAAGACATTGAAGTAATAACAGATGGATCACCTGTGGGAGTCTCGGGAATACTCACACAAGAAGGCAAGGTGGTGGCTTATGCATCTCGATCTTTAACACAAGTGGAAACGAGGTACAGTCAGACAGAACGAGAAGCACTGGCTTTGGTATGGTCATGCGAACATTTTGCGATGTATCTAAAGGGAGCACCAACATTCACATGCATTACTGATTGCATGCCGTTAACTAAAATTTGGGAAAAGAAACAACCACCACTAAGAATCGAACGTTGGGGATTGCGACTTCAACCGTTCAAAATGAAAATAGAGTATAGGTCAGGGAAAGATAATCCCTCAGACTTTATGTCCCGTCATCCATTACAACATAAGGAGGAACGAAATATAGCAGAGGAATACGTGTCATTTGTCGCAGAGCAATCATTACCAAATGCAATGACAATAGATGAGGTAAAAATGGAATCATTGAAAGATAAGACAATGCAAAAGGCAGTCGAATTTACAAAGAATGGTAAATGGTATGAATTGAAAACACTGAATGACCCAGAAATAGACAAAGAAGAATTATCATCTTTTCGTAGTATAAAGGACGAATTGACTGTGTATAATGAAACATTATTGATGAAAAATGATAAACTAGTGATTCCAAAATCACTCCGTGAAAAAGCAATAAAACTAGGACATGAAGGTCACCAAGGAATTGTGAAAACAAAAAGTTACATAAGATCGAAAGTATATTTTCCAAACATGAATTCTGAAATCGAAGCTGCAATTCAAAAGTGTTTAGCATGTCAATCAAATTCAAATGAACAAAGACCGCGTGAACCTTTGAGAATGAGTGAATTGCCGTCGGGACCTTGGCTCAATATAAGCGCTGACTTTTGTGGTCCGTTAGAAAACGGGGACTATTTACTTGTGATAATAGACGAGTATTCGAGATATCCGATAGTTGAAATAATAAAAAATATTTCAGCAAACACAGTTATACCGGTGTTCGACAAGATTGTATCAATGTTTGCTATACCGAAAGTGATAAAAACCGACAATGGGTCTCCATTTCAAAGCAAAGCATTTGCTGACTTCATGAAATTTTACGGCATAATTCATCGGAAAATTACACCGAGATGGCCAAGAGCAAATGCCCAAGCAGAATCCTTCAATAAACCACTGATGAAGATTGTAAAATCTTCATTTATTGAGGCGCGAAACTACAAACAAGGACTGTATGATTTCTTAAGACAATACCGAGCGACACCACACGTATCGACTGGTTATACGCCATTCAAGTTAATGTTTGGTAGAGATCCGACGACTCGAATGCCAAACATCGGTCATGGTAAAAGTGGAAATCTTCAAACAAGAGAAATAACGCAACAGAACGACGATTTTTCGAAAATGAAAGCAAAACGATATGAAGACGAACGGATACATGCAAAGGACAGATCAATTAACGTAGGGGATCGTGTGTTAGTAAGAAATGAAGCCAGAACAAAATCTGATTCAATATACAAACCTACGCCATATACGGTTATTGACAGAAAAGGGACAATGATAAGTGTTAGGAACGATGCTGGTCATTGTATGACTCGAAATTCGTCAGTTATGAAAACTGTTGATCCTGGAATTGTCGGGAACGAACCGGAAACATCTGAAAACGACCTCGATGAAGGGGAGATAATAGGAAATGAACAGAATTCACACGCGAGTCCGCAATCGGGTTTGGCGAGGACAAGGCCAACACGTGACAGACGTCCTCCGCCATACTTAAAAGATTATGTGCCGCGCTAACAGAGCGTGTATTTTAAAAGAAAGTGAATTGGCCATAATAATGCCAATCGTATGTGTTTTATTCGATTGTACATCATGGATATATATGTGTTTGATTAAATTTAGAATTATCAAAGTAATTATTATATATTCGAGAACATGAATAATTAATCAAGTTAATAAATATATATAATACCCAAATAGCGAACTATATAATGAATGAATGTTTGACAATACACACATATAGTGGAGCATACTGGAATATCCCCTCTGGAGTTTATTATAGGGTTTATATTATTAAATGCTTTTATATCATTTAAATATTATCAAACTCAAGGATATCAAATAAAAAAAAATATAACTAATGTGTTTAATTAATAGTGATGTTGGAGAGACAAGGAAATTATCCATGTTTGTAAAGTGTAATATGTCTGATATTGCTCAAGTAGTAGAAAAGTTTCATTGACTAACGTTATTCATTGGTAATAAAGCTGTAGTAAATCTGACCTACAAACGGTTGGAATTCGGACAGTTCCCAGTTTTCCTCATGATTAATTGCTTTATAATAGACCACGTGGAGTAAGGAATGCTGATATAAACAAACTCGGACAATTACAGTTCGATGCTGAATTTGTGTTCCATCTGTAGAAATATTATATACATTAATGTACATGTTTATGATTTTGGTTATTTGAATATGTATTGTATTTAGAACTAAAAAAAAATCAGTAATTAAAAAAAAAATATTGATTTAATAATATTCACAATAATAAATTTATATAAGATGATGTTTCAATCCAAGAAGAGGAGGGATGTAATATCCTTCATTACTGTAGTCTGCTATATATAACTATATTGCATGATGGGTAAAAAAGAGTACTGAACTTCCGGTCAAGATATAACATGGCTTTCTAAATAAACGTAGTTACAATCAAATGTGTTTCTTATAATATCTATACCCTGGACATAACAGTCACATGACTTGTTTTAAAACTATTCGGTATTTTTATTGGCGTCTAAATTTTGTTCAACATATTATATGTTATTTTGGTTTTGGAGTGATATATGTGGATGTATTACCTGCTAAGATTTTATATCACCCGAGCTGTTAGGTGAGGGTGATATTTTCTTTGGCAGATAATATATCCACATAATATATCACTCCAAAACAAAAATAACAATTTTATTACCCTTTCCCTGCCGAGTTTAGACGATTTTTAAAAAAAAGCATTGCTGTTTCAAATGAAACGTCGTAATAAGATTCCCTTAAGGGTACCTCTTCATCACAACATGACGTCACATGAATACATGACGTATTTTCCCGTACCTAACGAATGTAAACAAGAGAAAAGAAGTAGTCTATTGAACGCAGTTTTTTGTAATTAATATCAAGCTTTCACAAGGTCATATTTGTTTTCAATACTGATGGGAATTTGTATCATTACTCTACTTTGGTAAATATTTATCATTTGACAATTAAAAAGTGCTTGTAAATCGGAATTTACACTGCGTAAAATCGAACCGTACGCGCATCACCTCAGCGCATGTCGTTTCCAACGTTGGGTACCCAACGGGGTAATTTAGTGTGTATATTACCCGTCTGGCTCGGTTATATCAATTTCTTTCGGGTGATCAATATCCAATCAAAAAGGCGGAAAAATTCTGGAAGGGTAATAAATAGAAATATATTTACGCTTCAAACCCAAAATATATAGAATTTGAAGAGAAATTCATCTGGAACTTTAAGAAATGTCATTTTAACGCGATTTGAGTGCATAAGACCATTTTAATATTCTTGACATAGTTTTGCCTGAATATCCCTTTAAATCGTTTGCAAGAATGTTATTCACAACAGACAGCGTGGCACAAAGTTTCCTCACAGTTAGGCGACGATCTTCCGTATAACTAGAGTTCGAACTCTTTCCACATTTTACGGTCTAACAACTACTGGTCGGTCAGTCTTCGGCTCTGTTTTAATTGAAGTCACACCCTTCCAGAACCGATCGTACCTTTTATAAACAAGTGAGATACTAATTTTACGGAAGGGAAGCCATGTTCAGCTAAAGTTAGTTGTGTCCAAACAGAAGTAAAAGTTGAGGACATTATTAAGAAGTTTAAGAGAAAATAATTAAGAACAAGATTAAAGACATTGCATTAGTCTGAAATGTCAAAAAGGCTATTCAGAACTGTATTATATTATGAACGTGATTTTATATTGTATTTTTATATTTTCATAATTGACTAAGTTTGATTGTTTATTTGATTTGGTTTTATGTCTCACCGACATAGTATAGGTCATATGGCGACGTTCCAGATCTTACTAGAGGAGCATTTCCGTGCATTATTTTAGGCTCGAACGGGCACCTGTGTAGAACCACCGACGTTCGATAAGCTGGAATTAATTGAATTTTGTTAATAAACATTAAATATATCAGTTTGGAGAGGCAATGCGAAGTACAAAGTACAATCAAGAAAGTCAAATACCCTGTAAGTCAATGTAAAGACATATAATAAGTAGCTGATTAGAAAAAAAAGGATAATAAATAAATGATTGAATAATAGGCACATAAAGTCAAATAGCACAGGGGAAGGGAACATGAGACACGGGGATGGGGGGGGGGGATAAATAACAACTAGGGGCAAAGGGGAAGATAATTACCGCCTAGGAACGGTCAGTTACGATTACATATAAAATGATCATGACTTTTTCAGGCTTTAACAAACGGCAGGATTTAACAGCACAACACAGATTCTAACTAAGATTAAATGTAAATCTAAATGTGTGGATGTTACTATTTCTTGAAATCGTAATAATTACACTGTCTTTGTTCAAATGATTAACTAACATATCTTCAGGCTGTTCCAAATCATTATAATTCTTTTCTGATGCCGGTGCGGTGTTAGAATACAGTATTGATGCAAACCTGTGTAAAACTAGATTATATTGATAGAGCTCTAAGTTGCTTTTACCCAGTGTTTTCCGGCGCTATACGCGTTATTTAAATCCCCTTTGCAATAAAATGTACATCCGAGGTATTTACAAATATCAACAGATTAAAAATCATGTTCGCCTAACTATAAACGTGATGACACACTCGCGATATCACTAAGTTTACTCACTTAGATATTCAAATAATCATTATTTTGAAATTGTACACATGCCAATAATCACTTATCAATTATTAAAGACAATGGCTGGTTATCAAGACACCAATCTTCGGCGTTACTGTCAGTTGTTGTTGTTGCTAATTAATTATCTACCTCTCGATAACGTGTCCGATAACAATTGGTATAAGAAACACAAATTCAGGTATTTAAATTTATATAATACACATTCAAATTTTTATAGGGTGAAAATATAAAGAATGCGTAGTAAACCAGGTTGTTTCCCTTTCAATTTGTATAATGCCAATGCTCCTATTTATGACACCTTGGTAACGATCTTTAAATATCCCGTCTAACATAATTTATCACATAATAATAAAACTTCTCTAACTAAAGAAAGAAAGAATTGTTGTTAGAAATTGATATTTACATAGTTTCATAAGCTGATACTTTTAAATAAAGTATTCTATCTTATGTAGTTAAACAAATAAGATCAAGAACTTGGTGTTTCGTTTATTTATTATGATACAGTCCAGAATACAGGGAGTACGAAATAGGTCCAAGCCTCAGCTCTAAATAGATAAGTAGCATTAAAACTGATTTTTTCTCAAAGCCATGTTGTAATAGCTTTGAAACCTGTCGCGTTGGGTGTAGCCCGTATTGCTATATTTTTGGCGTTCCTGTGTGTGCAGTCTTTGGTGATTACATCGCTTTGTTCTCTGTCATTTGGAGTTAGCTGTAAGAAACCATTAACGTTAAGTATGGCTTATATTAAGTTCAATTATTTGCATTCACATTTCATTTTTTAACACATCTTATTTTGAAATATTTTAAAATAAATGATTGGCAGAAATACGGTGCTCCTACTGTCAGTTCCTTTGTATATTCTATTCTTCACCAATTATTATGGCATATAGTTTTCATTATACAACCGTAAGTGTTGGCATTCGAGCTCCTATACACTCTGCTATTAATGTTTGGTATAATACCTCCCATGCATAATTGGACTCAAATCTTGGAAGGTTTGCCGCATCAAAGGTTTCATATTTATAAAGATACATTTGATATGTACCCTGATCTAGATTCCGGTGTGTAACCAATGTCGGATTTTGGCAATATTAGGGAGCTGTGTCAATCTTAAATGCATATATGGTACGTGTCTATGTCTCGCAGATTACAAGGTTTACAAAATATGAATGAAATTGGACCAGACTTTCTTGGAGCTTAGCTTCAAGCTGATACTATGCATAAAAAATTGTTGATGCAGCTAGTGAGATAAGAGTAGCCCCATATTTTCTGGGCTGAGAACATGGTTTTATCAAAATGTTTGAAGAAATAGCTCACTTTAATAATGAAATCTTGAAAAATGTGAAAGCTCCCGTTTGGAGCTAAATCATAGGTTTACAGAACAGTTCCCTGATACAGATCTTACAATTAATTACAAAAGTCAATTGGAAGACAGTGAATCAATCACTGATTATGCATTCGTTTTATATAAGGGTAAAAGGGGGAAACGGAAGAAGTGCAGGGGTCGAGAAACACACACCGCAAACGACGATTTTAAAATGCAGACATCACAAAAATGCAAACATTCAAAGCAAGTAACCATACATATGTGTGAAACATGTGAAGGAACATATATTGGGTAAAACCTTGGAACTGGCAGTGGTAATTACACTACTGGTGAGTTTAAACCGGTTTTAGGCGCGTCGAACATTACTCGTAGCCCGAATATATTCCTATATGACAAATCAGTGTAAATAAAGTTAATCCCGCCAAGTAAAATTCTAACAATGGTCATGGCTACATTAGACTTAATAAACGAAACACTAAAATGATCGTGTAGATATGTTCAAAAAGGTATAGCCTAATGACCATTTCCAAAGCACTCGATGCCTTCAAGGAAGACAGAGCAA